ATGTATTACGTTTTTGATGTGTTTTTTTCTGTGTTTTTAAAGCATTTTTTATGTGTTTTGCGTTTTAAATCTGCCTAACAAAAAAAATAAAATAAAAAGCGCAAAACACATCAAAAACGCAGCTAAAACGTGTAAAAAAATGCACGTGCAAAAATGCAAAATGCAATGCTGAAAAAGTTGCCTGTTTGGTTCTATAGACTTCAATGGAAATGCTGCAGAAAAGCATGTATTGCGTTTTTGATGCTAATTGAGTTTTAAATCTGCCTAGCAACAATAAAAATGTAAAAATTTAAAAAAACACAAAACACATAAAAATGCAGCCAAATTGTGTCAAAGACGCATGTGCAAAATGCAGAAACGGATCAAACGCAAACTGCATAGGTGTGAACCTAGCCTTAAACAGGGAGGCTGAGTGAGTGTGCTCCATTTAATCTGAAATGCTCTTTATATTTTATGACTTTTATAAGTATATAATAACAATATTATAGACGAGCAGCCCTGTTGCAATATATTTATATATTTACCATATAAAAATGACAGTACTTTAATGCAGTATTTCTCAACCATTTTTCAGTCAAGGCACCCTTTAATATTCTGCACCAATTCTAAAATGTAAAAAAAACTAAGCTAATTGTTTTACATTATGTAGCAACATTCACACACGTAGGACAACCAACGTTGGAAGTGATTTATTCTTCCAATCTAAGTACACCTTTTCACTCTGGCACTGACTAGTATTCCAACATTTCTCTTCTCTCAGTTTCTCTCCATCACTCAGCTAATATGACCCCAGTGCTGATGGAGAGGGGCAGAGGAGGACAAACAAGGATGCTATGCAGGCACCTGAGGTCCATCTTATGAATCGATGACATCATTGCTTGTTGGGGCGCTAGCGGCTGGAAATTTTTAATGGCACACAATGAAATCCTGTGGCTTTGGGTAACTAAAAGGCAGGTTTGAACCACCCAACGGCTTGTATACAATTTTGGGGCAATTTGTAGGCATTTTGCCACTGCACCGCTGAAGAAACCTGAAGGCACCCCAGGTGCCTGGACCCCCTGGTTGAAAAAGGCTGTTTTATTTATTATAGGTACTTGTATGCTGTTGTCAATTTACGCAGCACTCTACATATACAGTATATTGTATATTCACATCAGTCCCTATCCCTCAAGGGGCATACAATCTAAGGTCCTTAACTCACATTCATATACTAGGGCCAATTTAGACAAGAGCCAATGAACCTACCAGCATGTCTTTGGAGTGTGGCAGGAAACTGGAATACCTGGAGGAAACCCATGCAGGCACAGGGAGAACATGCAAACTCCAGGCAGGTGGTGCTGTGGTTGGGATTTGAACCAACAACCCTAGTACTGCCAGGTAGAAGTAACTAACCATTTAGCCACTGTGCTTGCTAAGGTATATAGACTGCAATAATAAAAAACAAATATGCAATTACTGGCCTTTTAAGCACCTGAATAAATAGTTTGCCTTTAGGTTTTGCTATGAAATCCTTTATAACAAATTCAATACACAAACATATTATCTATTCACATCAGATGAATATATCATGTCAAAGCACACAAAATAAAGAAAGTCTGCTTTTCTTTTGTTCAAATAATAATCACTTTCCCAATTTCTGACAAAAAAAAAAAAACACATAGCAAGTCACTGTGGGAAAGTTACTCATTCATTTTCTGCTTTTGTTTCATCACAGACAGGGAGTTTTTCTGCACATCAATCTTACCTGAAAGTGTTTTGCTGAACTTTGCACTATGCTGATATCTTCCTATCCTTCTAACTGATGGTTTTGTCGAATTGGGAAACAATATGATCATTATTTCCTTTTCTTATTGTTCTATTTCACCTTCTATTGAGCAGGCCAGCAACAAAAAGATGAACTATTACAGAATTCAATGATTTTTAACCCTTAGAAACGTTAAAAGAGAAATAAAATGGCGTTCCTAAAGTACTGACTCCATGGTACCTGAAGCGTGCAACTTTTTTCTCCATTGTGGGTAAGCAATGGATACAAGGACACCCCTGATAGCAATAAGTCCATCAATCTTTATTACCACTATATTTTATTAAGACCATTTGATTATGTATTTCTCACACATTATTTCATGTTAAAAGAGACCCTGTCACCAAATTAAAAAAAGTATTTTGAATGCTTAATTATTGTTTATTTCCATTATTTTTTATCTTTATTCATTTGCAATGTTTCTTTAAACTTGCCAGAACAATTGACTTGTCGGCATCCTCCCTACTTGCATGTTATAGCTCCCTCTTCTGTCAGGAGTATCTAATTACCCTTTGTGTTGGCCTACCCCCGCTCCTCCTCCAATATGCATGCTTATGGACCAAAACCCAAACTATGAAGTAGCCGCCCAGCACCTCTTTATATTCAACAGGACATAAATGTGAATTAAATAAAATATATATATATATATATATATATATATATATATATATATATATACAGTCATGGCCGAAATTGTTGGCACCCTTGATATTTTTCCTGAAAATCAAGTATTTCACACAAAAAAGGTATTGCATTAACACATGTTTTGCTATACACATGTTTATTCCCTTTGTATGTATTGGAACAAATATAAAACAGAGGCAGAAAAGCAAATATGACATAATGTCACACAAAACCCCAAAAATGGGCTGGACAAAAGTATTGGCACCCTTAACTTAATATTTGGTTGCACACCCTTTGGAAAACATAACTGAAATCAGTCGCTTCCTATAACCATCAATAAGCTTCTGACACCTCTCACCCGGAATTTTGGACCACTCTTCCTTTGCAAACAGCTCCAGGTCTCTCTTATTGGAAGGACACCTTTTCCCAACAGCAATTTTAAGATCTCTCCACAGGTGTTCAATGGGATTTAGATCTGGGCTCATTGCTGGCCACTTCAGAACTCTCCAGCGCTTCTTTGCCATCCATTTCTGAGTGCTTTTTGACGTATGTTTGGGGTCATTGTCCTGCTGGAAGACCCAGGATCTTGGACGCAAACCCAGCTTTCTGACACTGGGCCCTACAGTGCGACCCAAAATCCTTTGGTAATCCTCAGATTTCATGATGCCTTGCACACAGTCAAGGCACCCAGTGCCAGAGGCAGCAAAACAACCCCAAAACATCATTGAACCTCCACCATATTTTACCGTAGGTACTGTGTTTTGTTCTTTGTAGGCCTCATTCCGTTTTCGGTAAACAGTAGAATGATGTGCTTTACCGAAAAGCTCTATCTTGGTCTCATCTGTCCACAAGACGTTTTCCCAGAAGGCTTTTGGCTTACTCAAGTACATTTTGGCAAACTGTAGTCTTGCTTTTTTATGTCTCTGTGTCAGCAGTGGGGTCCTCCTGGGTCTCCTGCCATAGCGTTTCATTTCATTTAAATGTCGACGGATAGTTCGCGCTGACACTGATGCTCCCTGAGCCTGCAGGACAGCTTGAATGTCTTTGGAACATGTTTGGGGCTGCTTATCCACCATCCGGACTATTCTGCGTTGCAATCTTTCATCAATTTTCCTCATCCGTCCACGACCAGGGAGATTAGCTACAGTGCCATGGGTTGCAAACTTCTTGATAATGTTGCGCACTGTGGACAAAGGCAAATCTAGTTCTCTGGAGATGGACTTGTAACCTTGAGATTGTTGATATTTTGCCACAATTTTGGTTCTCAGGTCCTCAGACAGTTCTCGTCTCCTCTTTCTGTTGTCCATGCTTAGTGTGGCACAGACAGACACACAATGCAAAGGTTAAGTGAACGTCTCTCCTTTTTATCTGCTTTCAGGTGTGATTTCTATATTGCCCACACCTGTTACTTGCCCCAGGTGAGTTTACAGGAGCATCACATGCTTGTAACATTCTTATTTATCCGCAGTTGTGAAAGGGTGCCAATACTTTTGTCCAGCCCATTTTTGGAGGTTTGTGTGACATTATGTCGAATTTGCTTTCTTTCCTCCCTTTTTTTGTTTTGTCCCAATACACACAAAGGGAATAAACATGTGTATAGCAAAACATGTGTTAATGCAATACGTTTCGTGAGAAATACATGATTTCCTGGAGAAATATCAAGGGGGTGCCAACAATTTCGGCCATGACTGTATATAGTGTGGTGCTACAAACCGAAATGCACTGATGCTGTGATACTGCTCATGTGATAAATATAAAATGTGAAATGTGAATATTCTCTGTATACTATAAAGTCCCAAGATGGGCAAAGCCTTTGCGTCACTTTTGGGTGCCTACGTCCGGTCCGTGGAATGCAGGAGTGTCCTGGAACCATGAGATAAAAGTAATTTGCCTGATTTGAATGTAAGTACATTACTGTGTATTTGTGGAAGTTTTAATAAACGGTATTACACTATTTGGAGTTCTGCTTTTTGGTTTCTTCGGGACTACTGGTGGAGTGGAGGAGGAAGGAGATATGAGAGCCCAGAAACAAGTTAAGAGATAACACGGATGGTCTGAGGAATGCAGTGGATATTGTATAAAGCGCATATGACCCACCTGTGAGAGTGGGTCTTGGGATACTGGTGAGTACAGCCCTAAAAGGGAGGAGCACGAGTGTCACATGGAAGAACACAACACCTAACATTAGTTGGAGAGCACTTTTAAGTGGACTGCACTTTATAAGCACTTTTAACCATTTGCCTACTGGGCACTTATACCCCTTCCTGCCCAGGCCAATTTTCAGCTTTCAATGCTGTCGCAGTTTGAATGACATATGCGTGGTCATGCAATACTGTACCCACATGAAGTTTTTATCATTTGTTTCACACAAATAGAGCTTTTTTTTTGGTGGTATTTAATCGCCACTGGGTGTTTTATTTTTTGTGCTATAAACAAAAATAGCAAAAAATTTGAAAAAAAAAGTTTTCTTTGTTTCTATTATAACATTTTGCAAACGAGTAATTATTCTCCTTCACTGATGTGTGTTGATGAGGCTGCACTGATAGGCAGCACTGATGGGCACTGATAGGCAGCACTGATGAGCACTGATAGGCTGCATTGATGAGGTGGAACTGATGAGGCGGCACTGATGGGCATTGATGAGGAGGCACTGATGATGCTGCACTGATATGCAGCAAAGATGGTCACTGATAGGTGGCACTGATGAGCACAGATAGGTGGCACTGATGGGCACTGATGGCGACACTGCCGGGCGGCGCTGACTGACAGCACTGACTGGCGGCACTGCTGGTTGGCACTGATGGGCACTGATAGGTGACACTGCTGGGCACTGATGTGTGCAACTGTGTATACAGCACTGATGGGGGGCACTGATGGGGGGCAATGATAGGAGGCAGTTCTGGGTACTGATGAGTGGCACTGCTGGGTGGCACTGCAGGGCACTGATCATCAGGGCCGATCTGTTCTGTCACATTTGCAGGTTATCGGCAGTAATTTCCTCACGCTGTGACAGCTTGAGAAAAGTGCTCCCGATAAACGGCAACTGTACAGTTGCAAGAAAAAGTATGTGAACCCCTTGGGATTACATGGAGTTTTGCATGAATTGGCCATAAAATGTGCTCTGAACGTCATCTAAGTCACAACAATAGAAGAACACAGTCTGCTGAACATAATACTACACAAACATTAGATGTTGCCATGGATTAATTGCACATAACATGTAAACATTCACAGTGCAGAGAGGAAAAAGTATGTGAGGCCCTAGCTTAAGGACTTCTCCTAGAGTTAATTGGAGACAGGAGTGAGCCAACCTTGACTCCAATCAGTATGATGATATTGGATGTGTTGCTGACAGCTGTCCTGCCCTTTTAAGGGCACCTGTTTTGGGTTTACTGGTTTCAAGAAGCACTGTCTGATGTGAACCATGCCTCGCAGAAAAGAGCTCTCAGAAGACCTACGATCAAGAATTGTTGACTTGCATGAAGTTGGAAAGGGTTACAAAAGTATCTCCAAAAGCCTTGATGTTCATGTGTCCACGGTAAGACAGACTGTCTACAAATGGAGAAAGTTTAGCACTGTTGCTACTCTCCCTAGGCGTGGTCGTCTTGTAAAAATGACTGCAAGAGCACAGCGCAGAATGCTGCATGAGGTAAAGAAGAATCCCAGAGTGTCAGCTAAAGACCTACAGAAATCTCTGGCACATGCTAACATTTTTGTTGACACATCTACAATAAGGAAAACATTAAACAAGAATGGAGTACATGGGAGGACACCACGGAGGAAGCCATTGCTGTCCAAAAAGAATATTGCAGCACGTTTGAAGTTTGCAAAAGAGCACCTGGATGTTCCACAGCACTATATACGGCAAAATATACTGTGGACAGATGAAACCAAGATTGAGTTGTTTGGGAAGAACACACAACACTATGTGTGGAGAAAAAAAGGCACAGCACACCAACATCAAAACCTCATCCCCACTGTAAAAACATGGCAGAGGGAGCATCATGGTTTGGGGCTGCTTTGCTGCCTCAGGGCCTGGACGGATTGTTGTCATTGATGGGAAAATGAATTCCAGAGTTTATCAAGACATTTTCCAGGAAAACGTACGACCATCTGTCCGCCAACTGAAGTTCCGCAGAGGATGGGTGATGCAACAGGACAATGACCCAAAGCATACAAGTAATTCAACAAAACAATGGCTGCAACAGCACAGAATACGCCTTCTGGAGTGGCCCAGTCAGAGTCCTGACCTCAACCCGATTGAAATGCTGTGGCATGACCTTAAGAGAGTGATTCACACCAGACATCCCAAGAATATTGCTACACTGAAACAGTTTTGTGAAGAGGAGTGGTCCAAAATTACTCCAGATCATTGTGCAGGTCTGATCTGCAACTACAGGAAACGTTTGGTTGAGATTATTGCTGCCAAAGGAGGGTTAACCAGTTATTAAGTCCAAAGGTTCACATACTTTTTCATCCCTGCACTGTGAATGTTTACATGTTATGTGCAATTAAAACATGGCAACATCTAATGTTTGTGTAGTATTATGTTCAGCAGACTGTGTTCTTCTATTGTTGTGACTTAGATGACGTTCAGAGCACATTTTATGGCCAATTCATGCAAAACTCCACGTAATCCCAAGGGGTTCACATACTTTTTCTTGCAACTGTATTTACTCCGTGATATTTTGTGTCATTGGACACAGCTGATCACATGGTAAAAGGCCGCTGTAACTGGCCTTTTGCCTCATCACGTGATCAGCTGTGTCCATAGGACACAGCGATCACAGAGATCGCCAGGTGCGCGCTGCTGGGGACGCGTTCTAGGAGGACATCATATGACACTCTCCCAGAACTGGACAACTTAGCTGTAGCCGTCATTTGGCTATAGCATGGTTAGCAAGTGGTTAATAAGGACTTGAAGACTGGTTTGCACTATATGCATAATTTGCACAAGGGGGATAATTATATGCATTTTGTATATTTTGGAATATAACATGATTTATGATATATGGTTTATTATTTTGATATGTGTACCCCTCCTAAGGAGGGAAGTGTTTTATAGTACACATGTGGAATGCATTATATGTATAAATTGCACAAGAGGATAGTTATACTGTGTGTATATATATATATTCTGGTATTTAATACAGTTTATGATATATGGTTCATTGCTAAGAAAGAAGGTAAATATTTATTTATTTGATCACATTGGGGTGTGTACTCCTCCATTAAAGGGAGGGGCTTTATAGTACAAAGAGAATATTATTATTATTATACAGTATTTATAAAGCGCCAATAGTTCACTCAGCGCTGTACATTACAAAGGGGGACAGAACATGTATTCAAGTTTCATATTTTTTATATTTATCACATGAGAGTTATCACAGCATCAATGCATTTTGATTTGTAGCGCCACACAATGTATATATTTTACCTAAAATTATATATTTTCTGAAAGCAGAAGTCGTATAAAAGATAATGATCACAGGTTCAAATTTTTTGTTACATAACATTTGCACACCTGTTTATCAAACACATATTTTAGGGAAACATACTCTAAAATAATTTTTGGTACACACAAACACAATATTATATCCATTTTGATAAACTATAAAATATGGCTTTTGTGTCAAGTAAATATGTACCAAATATGGCAAGCCTTAAAATGTCTGCGCCTGTGAAATGCAAAAAAACTACAGTTGTCCATAGCCAACACTTTAAAAGCATTTACAGGTTATCAGTTTAGCGTTAACAATAAATGATGACCCTAGAATTATTTATTTCACTCTGATGTTCTCACATGTCTAGTGCAATAGCTGTTTACATCCATGCGTGCATCCTGCATGGTGTTTGCCTTCACATGTATGTGCAGGGCAACATTATTTCATTATTCATTATTTTTTTTCAAACTTTCTTGTTATCACAAGGGAGAAAAGAAGCCCCCTATGTGATAGCATGGGCAGGTGACAGGATTAGGAAGATATCAGGGGTCTAATATAGCCGTCATACGTCAGATTCGTCACTTCTGGTTACATGCATTGGCGCCATACACGCTGACCAGCAGGGAAGCAGCCATATTTGTGCACCATGAGCTGTGCAAGGCTGCACAGGCACCAAGGGAAGAACGGAGCCCGACAGTCACAGTCCCGATGGTAGCGGCTGTTCCTGGGACTATGCCTGATAATTCAGACGGAGGAAACTTCCAGAAAGTATCACCTATGGCTCAGGTGGTGAGTGAACTGTCACACAGCTAGATGAAAAGGCATTTATTCGCCACTCTACACATGCATCAGCAAGAATATATTGATTGACTGTCCATTTGTCATCAATTTATTGAAGGATGGGGACAATATGCTTCACTATCCAGGTGCAAGGCACCAATTATATATTACAAGAGACGGAGGACCCAGCAGGCTTCATACTATCATCTATATTAAGGTGGTTTATAGTCCGCACGTTGCGGTGAAGAAACCCCGTAAAGCAGGGCCCTGCCATCTTTATCATCTTTATTTCACTAAGGATACCAACAATGATTCCTTCATGACTGACTGTGCATCTTTACATATGGGCATGTCCACTGTGAATCTGTACATGTTCACCACTCACTCATGCCCTATATAGGGGCTGTATTGCTATCATCCTATCATTCTGTTATTATAGGACCATCCGTACCCCCATTTATATTTCCAATTTTTTCACCCACATTGCCTTGACTGGGTTATGGGTAATCTCATCAATATATAGTGCCTGTTATCAGCCATTATTGCATAGCGCTGTACAGTATTATACCTGATGGTACAATTTTGTGACACACCCCTGATGGTGGTGTAAACAATGTGTTGGTGCTGCAAATGCACTAGACAGGTTTCTGTCATTGCATATACAGCACATTAATATTAAGACCAGTCTTGATGTTGCTTTTATGTGATTTTAGGTCTTTATGTATTATCTCATACCGAGGTGATGGTGAACCAGGGTATTTACCCTATTGTCAATAATTATTGTGTAATAAAGCATAATTTTTGGGAATTATTCTGAGTATCGCATTCTGTCCATGATGTAACCACTTTTCTGTGAATCTCTTTTCACTACCCCTCTTTTTTGTATGCATGTCTTTTGGTTACTGAGCAGAAACCATATATTGGGTGATTCAGTATATTTATGAACCTCTACCCTCTCTTATTCTTTGTCTCTAATATACCCCCAATGTCCCTTTCCCTCCAATTGCAGTTAATCATGCATGCACCATGCTTGATTAATTGCTTCCCCAGCTACAGTAACCAGGGAATGACAGCGGTGAACCAGGAAGTGATGTAATTCAAATCGCTTGCTGGTTCATTCATTGCAGAGGAGATTCGGGAATGGTGTCCCTTGATCTCCTTCAAAGCAATGAGTTGGGGCATTTTATTGTTGTTTCAGGTTCCCTGGAGAAAATTGAAAACCTGTGAACTACCAGAGTTGGTATTGGAGGAGGTAGGGCAGCAGCTTCTTGGTACTGTAAAAGATAACTTTAAAATGAAAGCCGAACAAGATTTTAAAAAAAAAAAATAACATCAGGAGAACAATTGCAGTAGCAGGCATGAGCTTTAACCGCTTTATAGAACTACCTTGGTAAGAAAGGGGTTAAACATGGAGCTTGGTAATGGTGCACTAGATGCAGTGCATCATTAAATGTATAGGTCATACACAGGGGGAGTGAACGGGTTATTGTAGGTCCAGGGGCGGACTGACAACTCATGGGGCCCCCGGGCAATAAGGGATCATGGGGCCCCTGTGTCCTTGCCCAAACTCAAGAAAACCTATGAAAAAGGTACCGGGGCATCTCATGGGGCCCCCTACTGACCCTGGGCCCCCGGGCAGTGCCCGAGTTTCCAAATGGTCAGTCCATCCCTGTGTAGGTCAAA